AATTTGCTTTTAGATTTCCTGGATTAGCTCTGGTATTAATTTCACAGGGAGCACTTTAGAAGACTTTTCTAAACTGGAAAATAAAGCCTTTTCCTGTGGCTGTCAAGGTCTTCCAGAGGGGTGAGCGGCCTCTCAAGGTGGTGGACTCATCCCATTCCTCAGTCCCAAACAGGCTGGTAGAGGAGATGCAAAATGGAGGTAGAGCCTGGGGCAAAGAACCAAGTCCACAGGTATATCGAGTGGTAGGTAGGGAAGGGCACCCGAGAACCAGAGGTGGGGCCTTGGGCAGGAATGGAACATTTAGTTAAGGGGAAAGACCGGCAGTGACAGCCAGGCAGCGTCCTCAGGTGAGCCCACAGCAGCAAATTGGGCTGGTGGAGTGCACTTAAGGGTTTCCAGTATGGAAAACGTCAAGGCTTAAGAAGGAAAAACTAGCAGGGGGAAATTGACGGTAGTGAATAAGGGAAAGCTGGGGAGACAGAGTCTGCTTGGGGTTCAGGTGCAGAGTAATGAGGGGGTGGTGGGCTTTTCGCCTTGGGGAGACATCGTGGGAAAAGATGGTGCCATGGGGCGCGGGGGCCGTCACAGGTCTAAGGAAGAAGAGCCGCGGGATGTCACTGAACTGAGAGGAGGGGGCGCCGCATGGTGTGAGATCTGTCACGGTGCAAGGAGGCGGAACAAGGGGGTGTCACTGTCCTACCAGACGGGTAAATTGTCCTTGCGCGGAGGGGTAGGGGGTTGGCACTATCCTAGGGAGGGGGCCCTGCGCAGCGTTCCTGCTCTGGGAGAATTTCAGGCGGTATCCCTCTCATGGGAGGCGCCAGGCGGGTCAGGTGGAGGGCACCGCTCCCCGCCAGCCCTGCAACCTCGCCCCGGGCGCCCCCGCCCCACCGTCAGCCAGCTCCCGGGTCTGAAGGCTGAAGCCACTCCCGGGTGTGGGCAGCTTTCTGCCAGCTCAGCGCAGGGCAGGACAAAGCTGGGCGGCGAAGCAGACGACCCGCGGCGTCCTCCCCGACGCCATAAGGCCAGATCCCCGGCTCACCTGGTGTCCCGAGGCCCCTTCTCTGCCGGCCCGGCCACTCTCCGGATCCCAAGATGTCCGCCCGCCCCCTGCTCGTCTGCCCGCTGCCTCGGCTTTCACCGCAGTGCCGCGGCCCCGCCCCGGTCCCGGCTGCGCGTGCGCGCCCGCCTCTCGCGCCGACTACAAATCCCGTCAGGCCTCGCGGCCTCCTTGCTTGCAATTTGAAGCGCTCTAGGTTTAGCAAAACTACAACTACCGATTGCTTTCGAGAAACCGTCCCTGCCTCAGGAAGGGGTAGGCGTGGCCTTAGCCGGCCTTACCAGAAATACACATTCCAGCATACACCGCTCCACCGGCCTCATTTTTTTTTTTTTTTTTCTCACTGAGCGCTCTGGGAATTGTAGTCCCTGCACTTCCTCCTATTCCTATTTGTGTTTTGGAGAGTTTTGGAATATTAATGTCATTTGTAGAAGCACATCTGTTAAGCCTGGGATTGCTGTAGGCCTTTTCTGTCTCCAGAGTCCCAGGACTGGCTGTCCTCACTTTGCACACAAATAAATACAACTTGGCAGTATAAGTGTTTGTGCTGAATTTACTGCTTTCTAACACTACCTCTGATTCTCCCAAGCTTTTCTCATATATTTATTCCGGACATGAGCTTTTTCCAAGGGATCAAGACCCAAGGAGAGGAGCGGGGAGCAAAGAGGAGACTACTTGGGAAGAAACTAAACCTTTTCACAAATATGTCCATGACTGTACAATCTTCCTCGAGGTCAGCTACAGCTTTTCATGAATGAGCCGATGTTCTCCTTAGCTATACCTATGCGATTGTGCATGCCTTCTAGTGACAGGCATATATGTTGCTTAGAAGATGTTCAAAGAGTTGAATTCAGTTTGACATGGGATTTGAAATCCCTTCTTTGATAAACAGAATCTTTACATCCAAGCTGAGGAGACAGAGCCAACCCTCAAACATTAAAGGCCTGCTTGGTTCTTGCAGAGATAAACTGCTGCCTTCTTTGGGCAGGACTGTGCCTGTCATGGGAGGAAGGAAGGGTGAGAAAGGGCAGATCTGGTTGCAAATGTTACAGTCCTTCCCAGCCTCTGGCCAGAAGCCACGATGTGGCAGGATGAAGATCTGACCCCTCTCAAATCATAGTCAAGGTCTGAAGTCATTAAGTGACTGAATACAGGCACTTCTAATTTTTGAACCAGCACTCAAGGCTTCACTCCTACCTTTGCAAAAGCTTTATCTTCCAAAAATACCCTAAACTGCTACCAATTTAGAGTAAATAATAATAATGATAAAATAATAATAATAATAGCTACCATTTATTGAGCACCTACTCTACTGTGTGCCAGGCACTGTGCTAGGCACTTTTCGTACAATATCTAATTTAAATCCTCACAACAACCCTGTGAGGTAGGTATTATTATCATCATTTTACATACGAGGGGACTGAGGCTCAGAGAGGTTAAATAACTCTCCTATCACACAACCAAAAATAGTAGAGCTGGAATTCAAACCCAAAACCACCTGACTCCAAATCCCATGCTCCAATGAATTAAAGTAAAGAGAGAGGGGAGAGGGAGGGCCACATTCAAGACAGATTGTTGGAGTGAAATGAACATGATATGCTGATGAGTAAGATATGGGAAGAAGGAATGTAAGCTCATAAATGTTTCTAGCTGGTGAGCCTATGTAGATTGTGATGAAGGTAACCAGGATAGGAATTCAGGAGGAACATACTTGGTTCGGCAGATGAGTTGAGTCTACATGGAACTGTCCATAGAGATGTCCAGTAGGTAATACCAATACAGATCTAAAGTCTGGGGGAAGTTGGGGTTGGAGCTATGTATTTGGGAATCACCAGCATATCAGCAGCAATTGAGGACATCAGGATGAATGACTCCATTTTGGGAGTAAACAGAAAGGAAAGAGAAGTGAATCAAAGACGTAACGATGGAAGCACTGATACTGACAGGCATGAGCAATCGTGGAGAAATTCTCAAGAGAGATGGACAAGACAGAGTCAGAGAGAGAAGTACGTGAAACTTCTAGTGGTGGCTAGAAGCCACGGACTAGGTTGGGAACAATTCTAGAGCTCCCAGAAGGCAGGCAAGACTGAGTCACACTTCCAACAAAGCTCCCTGTGCACCAAAATCCCAGGAAGTATTGTTTTTGTTTGCTTTTGATACAGAATCTCACTCTGTCACCCAGGCTGGAGTGTGATCTCAATTCACTGCAACCTCCACTTGCTTCCTGGATTCAAGCGATTCTTGTGCCTCAGCCTCCTGAGTAGCTGAGATTACAGGCAGGTGCCAAAACACCCATCTAATTTTTGTATTTTTAGTCGAGATGGGGTTTCGCTATGTTGGCCAGGCTGGTCTCAAACTCCTGACCTCAAGTGATCCACCTGCCTCAGCTTCCCAAAGTGCTGGGATTACAGACGTGAGCCACCGCAACCGTCCAAGGAAGTACTGTTAATTGAAACAAATGCCAAAATGTCCCTACCTTGGTTTATCCCAAAACCTGGAGCTAAGGACTTCATCTCACTTTTGACACCCCAGCCCCCAAAATATGGAAGCCCAGGACAGCCAGGAGAATTTATAGCAGAGGCTTAAAGAGAAAGTCATGATTTGTTTAAAGTGGAGAATAAGGTGAAAAATAAAACCTGGTACTCTGTCTGGAAGTCCTGGTAGTCTCCTTGCCCAACCTCAAATGGCTTGTGGGCTCCTGTGTCCTTGCTCTGGGGTGTCATGGTGAATGTGAAAACGGAGGAGGTTGTGTGTGGGGGTGGGAATGGTCTGTCAGTCGCAGGGCGAGTCCTCTGCTGAGCCCAGCCTGAGACCCAGCTTACAGGCTTTATCCAGGTGAGAAAATGCTGGGGACATGTGTGCGAGGTTTGAGGGCTAACAGGATGGGGAGAAGGGTGTCAGGGGACCAGCCCCACAACCTAGGAGAGGATTGAGAGGGTCCAGCCCTTCCGGCAGGGACCAGCCCTGAGGCTTTAGTGAACTTGCATAGGCACCTGTGCTTGCGTCTCTGTGCATGTATGCATACATGAGAAAGATAAAGAGCTAAAGAGGCACCCCCCCCAACTCGCACCCCATCCGCTCGCAGGCTGCCACATGTGGTACAGTCTGATTCTCTCTGGAAAGGAGGAGAGTCTCTCACGCATGGATGAAGCTGGGCCCTCCCCAGAAGCCTAGTGACCCATTATGTTAACATGTGGGTGTGGGGGTTGGACATCCTTGGGAAGCCCTGAGGGGCTGCTGAAGCAGGGTTCCTGGTCTCCTCGGAGGTTGGGCCTCCCCTCGCTGGGGGCTCACAGAAAGTCAAACAGCCCGAAATTCTTGGCTGCTCCAGGCCCAGGGAAAATTGGGGGAGGAAAAAAGAAAGAAAAGAAATGTTTCAGGCCTGGAGGTGAGAAGAGCCTGATGGTTAGTAGGGTTAGGGGTCTGAAGGAACCAGCACGCAGGACAGGCATGGGGCAGGGGTAGAGCAGAGATGCTCCCTGGAAGGCACTAGCCCCTCAGGCAACTGAGGGAGCCTTCTGGGCCTCTGATCCTGGGCACAGGCAGGGATGGCATGGATGGCTACTGGAGGCAACTACAGCTTTAGGTTGCAGGGCTGAGGCAGCAGGCAGGGGGACAGTTAGTAGGGGCAGATGAAGCAAATATATTTTGGTGTCAGTAATGTGGGGTAAAGTCAAGAGGTTTGCACACGTGCCTGATAGGGTGGGGTTAATAGAGGGATTATGTAGCTGAATGAATGGTGAAAGGGAGCTAAAGGGGAAAGGAGAGAATGAGGGAGTGAGCATGCCACCAAGGACATTGCTGGGGTCAACTCCCAAAAGGGGGTTTGCAGAGGGGAGTAAGGGGCAGCACCAAGTCTGGTCCCAGGGACAAAAAGGGTCCTGAGAAGTCCTATGCAGCGGTTAGTGGGCAGAGGAAAGGAAGTGGGGCCAGAGGCAGGTTAGGGGGCTGCAGAGCCAATCGGTAGGTGCACCCCACCCTCGCAGCACCCTGCGAGCAGTTAGCGCACCTGGATTTAGTTCCGTTTATTTCCCTTTCAGGTACCAGACAAAGTAAAAAAGACGGACGGACGGATGGAGAGAGAAACGCAGCCGGCTGGGGTGGGAGCGGAATGGAGGTGAGGGAGGGGCCCTGCTCACATCACATCCACAAAGAACTCACTGGGGTTTCCCATGGCCATGCGGAAGGACTGTCTGCTGGCGGTCAGTTCCGGGGGCACTGAGGCCAGGTCGCGGCCCGGAGGGGCTCCTGGGGGCCCCATGGCCGCGGGCGGCGGGGGCATCATCAGCATAGGGGGGCCGTAGAGAGGGGGCACTCCGGGAGGACCGTAGCTCGGGTGTGTGTGGTGGCTGCGAAGGCTGCTGGCCAGTGAATGGTGGCTGCGGTGGCTGTGCTCGCTGGCCGCCGGGCCTGAGCGCTCGCTGGGCGCCCGCTCCCGCGGCCCCCTCAGGCTGCTGCGTGTCGTGTGGTCCGATTCGCTGCCGCTACCCCCCGACTTGGAGTCCCCGGCCTTCGGGTCTTTCTCCTTCCTCCGATCGCTGCCGCTACGGTTGGAGCCACTGCTCCGACTGCCTGTAGGAGGCAAACAGGGCCAGCGCGGGGCAAGCTGAGTGGGCGGGGGAAGCCTGAGGCCCACCTATAGCCTTCCTCCGCGGCCCCTCTACCTTACCTTCGCTGTGCTGACTGCTGGCGCTGCCCCCGCCATAGCTGTAGCCCAGCTCCGGGAAGCCTGGGTGTGGGTTGTAGGGGTGCGGGGGTGGCGGGTACTGGTACGGGAAAGCCATAGGCCAAGGGGCGGCCCCCGGGTGCGGCAAAGGGGCCAGTGTGTCCTGGTCAGAGGCGCCACTGGAGCCATCGTGATCGTGGAGAGACAGGTTGGCCATGTCTGTGGAGGGAAGGGCCGGATGGAGCTAGGTCTTTCTGGAGAGAGGTCCCTAGCCTAGGTCAGGTGGGCTCTGGATGACAGAGACCGTGGTAGTTTCTGGCTAGAATGAGAGGAGGCACAGACCAGACAGCTGCCCCTTCTGCAGACCCGCTTTGCCACCACCACAGCCAGCTCCAGGGAGACCTGCCTCAGGAAGGCCTCGAGTCGTCATTCTTAGCTAAAGCTGTACCTCCCAATCCCTTTAAGGCCCTTGCCAAGCTTTTGCACTTTCTCTGCTGGCCTCAGTGGGCTAGAAGCGGCAAAACTCTTTGAGACAGAGTATCATTCTATAGCCAAGGCTGGAGTGCAGTGGTGCAGTTTCAGCTCACTGCAACCTCCTCCCCACTTGGTTCAAGCGATTCTCCTGCCTCAGCCCCCTGACAGGGTCACACCACCACGCCTGGCTAATTTTTTTATTATTATTTTTAGTAGAGACAGGGTTTCACCATGTTGGCCAGGCTGGTCTCCAACTCCTAACCTCAGGTGATCTCCCACCTCGGCCTCCCAAAGGGCTGGGATTACAGGCGTGAGCCCGGCCTGCAAAACTCTTATGTGGCCATTTTCTCTTCTGTTCACTCAGCTGGTGCAAGGTTGGAGAATTTGGAAGGCTGAAATACCAGACAGTCACCAGGTATGTCGCACCTGAAGTTCATGAAGCACAATAGTGAACACTACCTTCAGCTCAGCCTAAACTAATCAGAACAGAAGCTAAGAGTAGCTTAGTTTCTCCTTACCTTCTCAGATGAGGTCATTCTTTAGGAGCAAGGAGCAGTTTGGGAAATTTAGGTAAAGTTTTACCCACCCCCTCACCTAGAACTAAATACCCACTTTTAAAAGCCTAGAATGAGTGCAGGGCCTGCCAGAGATTCCCTATATAGAAGGTACTTGGCCCTCATTACACTTTCCTGGTGCTGCTGGAGTAGGTTGGAAGGGGCCAGAAGCAAAGAACAACTTAGGTGCCTCCCCCAGTGCTCTCCACCCCGTTCCCGGCCAGGCCTGGCTCTTCATAGCTCTGTCTCACTCCAACAACTCATCTCACGGACCCTGGCGCCCCCAGGGAAATTATACATTCCTTAAGGGCAAGGCTGCTCCCACCATTGTTGGAACTACCTTGAAGAGAGTATAAGGGGCCACCAGAACTGAATATCTGCCTGGGACACCCTCTGCTCACACACTATCGGTACCAGGTCCCAGAGCCTCAAGAGAGCTACGACTGCCCTTGAGGCCACCCGCCCTATTAAGATGAGACATTCCTCCAGCCCTAAGGAGAGCCAGCCCAACCTTCCAGGAGAGAAGTCAGGACACAGGGCTCTGAGGCTGCCTGTGGAGCCTGCAGCCAGCATGGGGAGTGGTGGTGGAGGAAAGCAGTGGTCTGTGTCAGCTGTTGCCCAGAGCTGGTGGCGACGTGAGCCTCCAGGCTGTTGTTTAGAGGGAATGACTGTGTGCTCCTTGGGGCTACCTAGGCCTCCAGTTCTTCCCTTTAAGCCTGCAACACCCCTAGCAGAGACCAGTGAGAAGGAAAAGGCCTGTTCTGGCAGTATCCTCCTGAGCTGGGCCTCTGGGAGGTTGTGAGGATTGAGTAAGATGATGCTTTAGGAACAGTCAGCATGGTACCAGGCAGAGCAGGCACTTAGAAAATGCCAGGTCCAAGAGGGAGATGTGGGCCAGGTAAAGAGGCTAGATTGGACTCTTCTTCCACCACAGAACTCTCAGGCCTTGAGTTGGGCCCCTGGCTCTGCTGTCCCCCAATTTGGGTTCCCCAGAGTCTGCTGCCACCTCCCTGGCTACCTCCCCACTCACAGCCAGGAGACAGGGCAAGAAGGTGAGGGAGGCACATACTGCCGCAGAGGTCGCCGAAGATGTAGTAGCACTGCTCGGAGAAGGTGATCTTGTTGACGGTATGGCGGATGAAGCCAGCTTTCAGCAGGTTGCTAGCATACTTGCGGGCCTCCCTCCGGTCTGTGAAGCCTTCCACATTGTGGTACAGCCAGTCCACTACATCTGAGCCTGGGGGCAAGGCTGCCAGTTGATGGGGAGGCCCATCTGACTTGGACTCATCTGGCCTCACAGAAGCTATGAGGCTGGGGCTGGCTCCAGCTCAAAGGAAGGGTCCAAGGGAAGTCCTGGGCCCTCCGGCCTGCCCTGCCCCATCACTCCCCACCCACCCTGCATCCCACCATGGGGCTCTCTCACCGATGAAAGCATTAGGGATGGTAATCTTGAGCCACATGCGGTCACGGACCTCCAACCCTGATTCAGGGGAGGCCATGGCTTTTACGATGGCAGCCATGTCACTGTGGATGGACAAGTGGAAGTCGTCTAGGCCTGGGGGTGGGAGGCAGAATGGTGAGGCAAAAAGGGGCTTTGGAGTTTGGTAAACAAGAGTTTGCATTCTAGCTCTACCACCTAGTAATTATGGGACCAATGCTGGGAAAATTACTGATTTCTTGAACTCTCAGTTTCCCCTTCTATAAAAAATGGGGATTTTCATATCTACTTTACAAGGCTATTTGAAAAAGGATTAAATAATATAAATGCAGGTGCTTGGCACAGTGTGCGATATACATGTGATGATAATCGAAATGGCTGCCGTTTACTGAATGCTTACTTTACACCACACATCGCAGTGGTGCTTCACTTAGATCCTCTCATTAAACCCACGAGAACCTGGTAGTTTATTTCGTGAGTCCCATTTTATAAGAGGAAACTGAGGTGCCCTGGGTGCTCATACAGGTTCAGAAGCAAACACTGTTTAGTGAGGGTTGGAGTGCCCGCTGTGGGGGAGTTGCAGTGTGGGGTTGCTAGAATGAGCCGAGCCCCATCTCCGGCCCTCTCTGATGCTCAAGCAAGAGTCTCCACATGGACCCTCATCAGTCCTCCCACCTGGCCCTGTCTGCTGGGCCCAGGACACAGGGTTGGACACTCACGCTCTGTGTCAGGGATGGAACTGGTGATGGAGGAGCTGGTGGAGGTGATGGTGCTCAGGGAGGGGCTCATGCCGTATGCAGGGAAGGTGCCGGTCATGGCTGCAGTGTGGGAGACCCAGGCCGCAGGGTCAATGGGCCGGATGGGCTCGCCTGCAGGGAGGATGAGGAGTCATGGGCTACCCACCCTGCCCACTGCTGGGCCCAACAGGATAGATGTGGGGGCTCTGGGTGAGAGAAGAAAGGAGAGACAGTGCTCATGTATGTAAGCACCAGCTTTAGGACTGAGTCTCCCATCCACTTACTCCTGGGCAATGTGAAGCAACCACGTGGACTTGGGTCCCAGCACTTGGCTACAGTCAGGGTGATGGGCCTGAAAACAAGGGTGTCCTGTGAAGGCAGGATGTGTACAGGCCAGACCAAGCCCCTTGCCCAGTGCCCCATTCCATCCATACCCCGGTTTGTGCACAATCTCCCGCAGTACCCGGACTGCATCGTCATTACTCATGTTCTCAAAGTTGATCTCGTTTACCTGGGAAAGGACCAGGAGTGGGATAAATAGCTGTGTTGGGGAGGATGAAAGGGGAACTCAAGTTGGTAGGTCAGGGAGTCTTCCCTCAACCAAGAAAGGGCCTCTGAATGAGCAGGGTGCAGATGGTAGGACACCTCCCGGCTCTCTATCCACACCACCGCCTAGGATGGGCACTGATACCTGTAACAGCATATCTCCTGGCTCGATGCGTCCATCAGCAGCCACGGCCCCACCCTTCATGATAGAGCCAATGTAGATGCCGCCGTCACCACGCTCGTTGCTTTGGCCCACAATGGAGATGCCCAAAAAGTTATATTTTTCTATAGAGAGCAATTTAAGACCTTAAGGGGGAGCAAGGTTCCTACCCGCATTCCCAGCCCATTAGAAAATGGAAACGGACAGGAACTGAACTGACATTTACTGATCCTGAATCAGGCACTGCACTCAGCATGCTCAACATGCTTCCATGGAATCCTTGCTGACTGTAAGGTAGGGACTCAGTCCCATTTTACACAGCAGGCAACTGAGGTTTAGTGAACCTAGAAGATGACTTTCCTAAGCCAGTAACTGGCAGAGCCAGGAATCAAACTCAGATTTAAATCCCAAAGTTGGGCTCCTTTTACTATATCTAGCTGCCTCGTAAAGAGAGTACCTAGGGCAGAAATCAGAGAGAAAGGATGCAATGGCTGAGAGATGTGAAGGAGTGGGCACTCAGAAATTACTTCCTCCAGGAATCCTTCCCTGATGCCATTTTCTACTTCCACAACTCTCTGTGCTTATCTCTGTCATAGCCCTGATGATGAGACACTAAAATGATCAGTTTATGTATCAGCTGATATTTATGAAAGAGAGCTCCCTGAGGACAGGGAACATATTCTGTGCCTCTCTGAGCTCCTCAAGTCTGCCCAGTGTCTGGCACATAGCAGGTGCTTTAGAGTGCTGTTTCCTCAGACTCACCCATGTTGAGAGTGACCGTGATGATGTTGAGGGACATAGTGGAGTCCGTGATGCTGCTGAAGGACGAGGACTGAAATAGACAGAGGCCCTGAGCAGTAGGCAGGGGTGGCAGGAATTCACTCCCACCTGGCTCCTCCTCAAGGTGAGTCCTCGGTGTTGCCCCCTGCCCCAAGGTTCTAAACACTGCACTAAGGGGATGGGATCTAAGGAAGAACAAGCCTTGGCCCTGCCTAGGAAGGGCTTACAATCTACCTCCACCCATCCCTAGCCTCCCAGACCCCATACCCGCTCAATCCGAGAAACCTTCTGCTTCCGCCGCCGCCGCTTGTGTCTTCTCATCAGGCGTGAGGCGCTGCTCTGTTCTGTGGAGCTGCTGAACCTGTGGGGCCCACAGTCGTTCCCCACCAGGCTGGCCCAGCCCTGCCCCCATGAGAGGCACTGCAGGGCCTGGGTCCCCAACACAAAGCCTATAAGCCTCCCAGGGCCCTGCCTCCTCAGGGTTTAGGGCTCCTCCAGGGTCACCTGCCCCACAATCCCCATGAAACTCAAGCCCCACCTGCTGGTGGAATCATCCTCATCTGAGTCAAAGAAGCTGGTGGTCTCCAGCTCGCTGCTCATAAGGGTGGATGAGCTATCATAACCCCCTGGTTCTCGCCGTCGCTCCCCCTTTGCAGTTCCATTTAGCCGAGTTGCTGCAGGGGATGGAAGCAGTTGGGTTTACACAGTGCCCAGTGCAGGAGTGGAGGGAGAGAGGTAAGCCAGGGGCTGCACCGGGGCCAGGCACATCCTGAGCTCAGGAAGTAGGGCAAGGAGGTGGGTAGCTGGGTGGAAACTGTGGGGAGGGTGTGAGGTACAGACGGTGTCCATGTTCAGGAAGATATACCATGCTCTGGGCCATCCCTCCGGCGTGGCCGCTCTCGCTGGGCAGACACCAAGGAGTCCGTCTCTGTGTCATTGTCCAGGTTCTCCTGGCTGCCCCCACCAGCATGAGGGCTGCAGGGAAGAGACTTGATGGGGGAGGGGCCAGGCTGGGGGCTCCCTCCCCCAGCCCTGGGCTGAGCTGATGCTGCCCTCCCCACCCTCAGGTCACACTCACTGGAAGGACGGGGGTCGGGAGTCCCCGATGCCTCCCGTGCGCTCCATAGGTGGTGGCAGCTCCGATGGGTTGTCAGCACAGAAGGGGGCTGGGTCCGGGTGTGAGCCCTCAGCTGACACCAGCTGAAGGGGAGAAACTGAGTGAGTAGTATGTTAGAAGAGCACCAAGGAGAAGGGGATTGTTGGCTTCTGGCAAGGCATGAAGGCGTAAGAGGAAGGAAGCAGGAAATATTGAGGGAGAAAAGACAGGGCTGTGCAAGGATGGCTGAGATGAACAGTGGCCCCTCTGCCACTTCCTGCTATTGATGGGGTGGCTGGAAGGCATGGGGTGGTGAAGTGGAATGGGGACAAAGAACAAGGCTCAGTGGTCTAAGGCAGAGATGAGCAGGTGGCAGAAGGAAACCTGAGGCAAGTGTCTGAAAGGCATAAGAAACGTTGCTATCTCCACTGTGTGTTTCTATCTCTCCCTCTTCCCCCTTCCCACCAATTTCTCACTTTTCCTCAAGGTTACAGAATCTGAGGTGAGAAGCAGTTCATTTAGAAAACTAAAGAAAGATTCAGATACTGAAGCTTAAAACCACCAGCTACAATCTCAGTGATGCCTTTCCCTCGTCCAGCCCAGCACAGGGATGCAGGTGGATGGAAGGCTGAGGGCTCCTTACCCAGGACACCACCCGGCCATTGAAGCATGGTAGCTTGGCATTGTCATCCGAGATCTCCTCCTTCACCACTCTGCAGAGAAAAGGGGATGGTCACAGAGAACCTTCTAGGATGGAAATGGAGGATCCTCAAATCCCAACTCTCAGGTGCTCCTCTATCCTAAACTGGGAATCAAACCACCAGCACAAGACTGTTCAAATGAAAGCAAAGGTTGGGGAGACCCAGGAACAGCTCTTTAGCACCACCAGGAAGATACCAGCCCTGCCTAGGCCAGATGCCTTCCTGGGGCATCCTCTCAGTCATCAGGTGATTGCAAATTACAACTGACACATCACTGTCCCCCATGCCACGCCCTAAAATCTCCAGAGTGCTCTACCCATCCCCAACATGACTCTCCTGGGCTAGACTTTCTCTTTTCCTCTGACCCCAATTGGAAAAAAGCATACAATTATAACTGTCCTTCCTTTCTTAAGTGGGAATCCTAACATTGTTGTGGGAGGTGTGGACAAAGAATTTAAGAAAATTAGAAAAGAGAAGGGGAAGCCGGGCGCGGTGGCTCAAGCCTATAATCCCAGCACTTTGGGAGGCTGAGATGGGCAGATCACGAGGTCAGGAGATTGAGACCATCCTGGCTAACATGGTGAAACCCCGTCTCTACTAAAAAATACAAAAAACTAGCCGGGTGAGGTGGCAGGCTACTCGGGAGGCTGAGTCCCAGCTACT